GGTTGGGGGGGGGGGTGCGTGTGTTCCCGATCACCTGGGCCTGCTGTTGGAAATCAAGGAGAGAATCACCTCCTGACACTACAGATCTGGAAAAATAAAAATCTCTAGAAAAGAACGTCCGATTTGGAGTCAGCGGGAGGACGAAGAGGAGTGGGTGCCCCGATCGAGGGTGGGCCGTGTGTGACTGCATTTCGGCGTCACCGTGGCATGCACGGAGACCCCTCAGTGCTCAGGTGGGGACTGTGGAGGGACCTACTGGCCATGCCCAAGGCCTGGCTGGACCACGGGACCAAACCTGGCTGTAAACAGGAAAGGCCACTCTATGCTTCTTTCCTCACGATTTCCTTAATTTGTGCTTCCCTTTGGTTTGACAGTTAACATGGGGGTGGCGGGGTGGAGCCGGGGTGGGGGGGCGCGGGGAGTAGATAACGGTTTCTGTCACTTGTCCAAAAACGGAGAGAATAGGTGAAAGCAGGTGTTGGATTTGTTGGGCAGACGCTTCCCGGGCCTGATGTGAGTTGCCTCGCTCAGGGTGCAGAGACGGGCTGCCCTGGAGCTATCGCTGGCCTTTGGGGCCCTCGCTTCTGCCGCGGGGGACACGCACAGGCTTTCCGGCGGGGCTCTAGCTATGTCGAGGCCCAGAGATGGAGGCCTGCCGTGTGGGCTGCTACTGACGGCCGTGCCGCGGCTTCACCTCTCTCTCTAGCTTTACACGGTGCGTGGACCCATTCAGTGGATGTCGCAGGAAAGGTAGCAGATTCTTAACTTCTTCCATCTCCAGAGTTGAAAAAGATCAGTTACTAAAATAAACAATTTCTCGATTGTGTTCTGGTGGCCACGGGCCCGGTGGCCGCGGCGTGGCGGGGAGTGGTGAGGGGGGAGGGCCCCGGCTGAGTGAGGGGCTCACTCAGGACAGGCACAGTCAGCTCGGCTGAGCGAGGCTCAGGGTAAGGCGGGATTCCTCACAGAAGAACACATCGGAAAAAGCTGCTCCTCTTCTGCTGGTCCGGGGTGATTTTGACTCCCTGGTTGCTCCCCTGGGGGCTGTTGCCTTCCTGAAATCACAAGAGGTTTTCTGAGGTTACGGCTGAGCAACATGAGCTCTATGTCTCCTAACCAACCAGCCAGTCAACTAATGAACTAACCAACCAACTGCCAGCCTATGTATCCATCTGTCACCTTCCAACCAACCATCCATCCATCCCCTCCCATCCATCACCCATCCATCCCCTTCCAACCAACCATCCACCCATTCATCCAACTGTCCCCTCCAACTAACAATTTATCTTTCACAAACCCATAGATCTGCTTTTTATCTACTACCCATCACTCCTTCCAACAATTCATTCCTTTAATCACTCGTTCACGTATCTATCCACCCCTTTCCACTCACCCTCTCAACATCTTTCCAACCACTTATTTACCCATC